GCTCTAGCTCTCTCAAGAATATTATCTACTTTCCCCAAAAATTGTACATATTGAATACTCTCGTACTTCATAATTAGGTCATTGTTACGGATAAGCGTTGTCCTTGTTGAAAATATAATTTAACAAATAGAAGCATGTTTTCTTAATAGCTATGGCTTTTAAATAAGAAAGAATTACAAGAAAATACACATGACTTTACACCATAATAAAAAATGGTTCATGTTTTTAAGTTTGACCCGACCTAGTCTATATTGTACATATTTTGAAAGCACTAGCAAATTCAAAATCTGTGTTCTTACAACCATTGCTTTTAAAAGCTATGGAGTTAAATCTGTGTTCTCACAACTATTACTTTCACTCTCTCTTCTTCTCATATCTTCTAGATATGCTTCAAGGGGCCATATATTTTCTATTTCTCTTCTTGTGTCATCTGGTTGCAATGTATGAAAATTGAATAGTAGAAGTCCACCATTGAAGACCATTCAAAACTTTGGTTTCCAAAATAGGATTTTTTGAGTTTGTTAGTTGTTTGAATTGGGCGTTGTTCCAATTGATTAAAATTATCAAAAGGAGATCAAAATTTAAATTTGAAGTGATTTGGAGTATATTTGAACAAGATTTGAGTTAAATTTCAGAAAAGACGCAAGGAAGAAGACGAAGTCAGTTTTTTGTATAATTATGTGTAATCTTGTATAATAGTGTATAAACACATCTTATACACTATTATACACTTTTATACACCTTTATACAAGCGTCTGTAGACGAACTTCTTCCACGATTTTCAGTTGCAATTCTTGTTCAAAACCAGTCCAAGTCTCTATTAAATGACTTCAAATTTTATATACAGCCTACTTATACTATTTCTAACAAGTCTAAATAACACACACTCCAAATTTCTCACAAAATCGAATTTGAATTTTAAATCCACTTATTTAAGCTTGTTAAAAATCTAATTTTCACCACCCAAATGAATTTGGTTTGTTGAACTAATATTTGAGTCACAGTTACTAATTCGAAAATTAACTTAAAAGTTTGAGGAATCTTTTTTAAAAATTAAATAGTAATTTTGAGAACCTATTGGAATTGGATGTTGAATCATAGCCTATTATTTTTGGGCTAATTGGTTATAAATTGGGAGAAGTGCACGGTTAGCCACTAATAACACATGTGTTTACTTTTAAGCCACTGTTTAAAATATCTTTAGTCTTTAGCCACTGCTTTAATAAACTTTAACTGCCCGAACGAAAATACCCTTCTGCTCATGTCCTTAATTTTTGAACTTAACTTCAGGACTTCAGGACTATATGTCCTTAACTTTTGAACTTAGAACTCTAAGTTCAGGACTTCAGGACTACATGTCCTTAACTTTTGAACTTGGAACTCTAAGTTCAGGACTTCAGGACTATATATCCTTAACTTTTGAACTTAACTTCAGGATTTCAGGACTACATGTCCTTAACTTTTGAACTTGGAACTCAAACTTCAGGTCCAAACGTCCTTAACTTTTGAACTTGTAAGTCAAAGTTAAGAGCCTATTGTCCTTAATTTTTGATCTTGTAACTGTAAGTTAAGGACTGTCTGTCCTTAACTTTTGAACTTGTTAGCCTAAGTTCAAGACCAAGTGTCCTTAACTTTTGAACTTGTAAGTCTAAGTTCAGGACCAAGTGTCCTTAACTTTTGAACTTGTAAGTCTAAGTTCAGGACCAAGTGTCCTTAACTTTTGAACTTAGAATTCAAAACTAAGGACTAAGTGTCCTTAACTTTTGAAACTTGTAAGCCAAAGTTCAGGACCAAGTGTCCTTAACTTTTGAACTTGGAACTCAAAGTTAAGGACCAAATGTCCTTAACTTTTGAACTTGAAACTTAAAGTTCAGGACCAAGTGTCCTTAATTTTTTAACTTGTAACTCAAAGTTAAGGACCAAGTGTCATTAACTTTTGAACTTGGAATTCAAAGTTAAGGACCTATTATCCTTAACTTTTGAACTTGGAACTCAAACTTCAGGACTTATTGTCCTTACGTTTTGAACTTGTAACTGTAAGTTCAGGACCTATAGTTGTAACACCCCAAAATATTTTATAATATTTGCATTCTTGATTGGACATTTTTATAACGAGGAAATATTTTACTTTGCACTTCCTAAATGTGAAATGGTCAATATATGAAAATTTCTTACTTTAGGTTGTGTTAATATTGGCAATGAAGTTTCATGATGTTGCTATATGTAACACTTAATATTATTTTGACTAGTTGTTATTAAATATAATATATAATTAAATTTTGGTTTCCAACCTTTTGTATTTATCTAAGAATATTTAGTAGTTGGGTAACCATTTTGTTTCTATTCTTCAAGACAAAGAATCCATCTCTCTCTTTCTATCTATCCCTCCTTTTCTCTATCTCTCTCTATATCTCTCCTCCGTAGAAACTTGAAAATCTGAAGTTTCATGGGAAAAACCATGGATTTCTACTAAATCAACAAGCAAATTTCGTTTTTGGTGAAGATCAAGTTGCTCCTCTTGGTAAGTTTCTAAACTCGTTTTTATACTAGACACCTACTAGAATTTTCTACATATCTTTTTGTACAGAGCTCCGATTTAAGTGATTCAGGACTTTCTGGAAAGGTATATCATAAATCTATAACTTTTATGAAGGAAACAAATCTAGTTTTGTCGTTATTTACCTGAAAAGGATCATAAAGTACAGGGCAAGTGCTGTCCAGATTTCCAGTTTTAGAAATACTCCATGTACTGCTGTTAGTAATATTAGTATAACTTTTTGTTCCAAATTGATATGGATGTGATTCAAGATGTTCTGAAACTGTAAGACATAGATCTACAACTTTTGCGAAGACCAAAAAGTCTAGTTTGTCCGTGTAGATCTTCAAACCTGAGTCACAACTCGGAAAAGTGACACTGTCTAGAATTTCTGTTTCAAACGTTTTTGGTAATTTTCACCAATATCATATTTAGTTTGACTTGCTAAATCACTGAACTTATTTAGATACTTGATTATGTATTTAAGGTATATAAACCGTTGAAAAAAATCAAAGGGGAAGTGTTTGAGGAAGTGGACAGATTTGGTTTGTTTACGGCGTAGACGATTCGAACGTCCCCAAGTTGTGATTGAACTGTTTCGTGGTAAAACACCAAGGTTTGTGTATAAACTTGTACTCTTTTTGCTTGCTGGAATATGTTGAAATAACTTGATATTTTATTTTTCTTGGCTTCAATTTATATTGTTATATTCGTATTATATCAAGTATTGTAAGATATTTGCTAAATCGCCCATTCGTACGGATTGTTTGATCATTTTGCATTCTTGTTGGGACTTTGTCCTTCTTGTGGCAGTGACTTTGTCACTCATCTTGGCATGCCTCTTGATTCGGATCTTTTGCCATCTTGACTTTGGATTTGTAGTTCGTCTTGAATTATGGAACTTGTCCGTGTTAAGTACGAACTAGGAAGCCATTTTTAATATGGTTCTTGATTCTCTTGTCTATTGGGTTTTGACCCTACTTGATTTGGGGCTTCGATCCATCTTGATATCTGATTATGCTTAGTGTAATGGCATGACGTACATATTGGGCGAAAAATGGATATTTGGTATACTCTCTTAAATTGATAGTATACACTTTCTAGACTCTTGAGCATTGTTATTGATATTTAGAAACACTTCAAAGTTTGATATTGATATTTTTGATATATGTGTTCACTTATTTTAAATTATGTTAAATTGAGCTAACTATGACTGAAAAGGGGAATTGGAGAATTTAATGACTCCAAGCCTAAAGTTTATACACCACTAAGCTTTATGCTTAGCGATAGTTGTTTTCTATCGTAGGAAATGTTCGGGATGCAATCTGAAGATGGCCGGGGTGAAGTAGTCTTTTTGGGAGAATTTATGGAGATCACATTTGCATATGCACCTTAGTTTGCATAGTTTTGGGACATGTACATGATATACAGTATATATACATACATATATATATATATATATATATATGTATGTCACACTTATGTTATTTGGAGGCTTGTTGGATTTTAAAGACCAAAATCTTGTAACTTGAATTTGTAACCTATTTTATTGTATTAGGGTGTTTTAATAACTCAAGTCTAGTAATATGCTGAATTTACACTTTGTTTTGTAAATATGTAGAAAAGGAGAAAACTAGTTTCTTTTTTTTTTTACCCGATAGTTTAAAATTTATGTACAATACAAACTTGTAGTGATTTTGAATGATTGTATAAATCTGTTAGGAAGTTGTTTTAATCTATTGATTAATCCAGAAGGGTTATATCACCATATGTTAATATTTTGACATTGTATTTTATTTAAAATAAAATTATGGTGTATTTTCAAAAAAAAAAATATTGCACTTTGAACCTTTTCGCATAGGCCTACTTCCGCTACTAAAATTATTCTGAATATTTTTATTAATATCTCTTTTAATATTTTGTAAGTAGGAAATTAGATTTGTTT